AAGATGTGCTATCATAACAAAAACAATCCAGTGTAAAGTAGAATTTTCCTTATGCTGTAATACCTTTCAGCTCATGGCTACGAATCATATGTTTAAAGCTCTTTTATTGAATTGCAAATTAAATATCTCATCTTAACAGAAGTATCTGATATGAAAAGATTAATCACAAACACATCATCTTCATGTATGTATAATACTAACTTATTTTACTGGCCCGATTATAGGGCGATCTCGAACGTAAGGCAACCCCCATTTTCAGAAAATATGGGAAAGAAAAAAATTTAGTGTCATAATGTCCTTTTTTTAGGTCCACAAAATCAATGCTATAACTGAACAGCCTGCAGGTGGATTAGTTGCAAGAATTAGTGATGACCTTAAGTGAACATCTGGCACGCATGCATAGACGGATACTATTTGGACATTCAGGAATGCAACAGGCTAAAGTAGGGGGAAGGGGCCTGTGGTCAGCCATGACTATTAGATGACTATGAATTTTACAGCCTAATTATTAATCAAAAAACATCGCTTTATAATCTGGTCAATACAGTAACTAATTTTTCATTTTCTTCTGGGTTTGGTACCTTTTGGATGTGAAACCCCAGAAAGAAGAAATATGAACTTAAATGTCATGGTAGTGATATTAACTTACACCTACAGGTCACTTTGGAACTTAATGGGCCATACACTGAACATTATATATTACTTAATACAAACAGAAAAAATGACAACAAAATTAAAATAAATAGATTCAAGGAAATTCTACATGTCTGAAGCTTACCATGGCATGTACTACTCATATAATTAACCAATACATACACAATAAGTACAATTTACCTAAGTTGAATACATCTTTATACCTGATAGTGCATTTACACTAAATCTAAAGCAATATCATTCATGTTATTGTATTTTGCACTAAACTTTGATTTTAGGCTACTACTGCTTCAATGTCATTTGATTGTCCTCTTGAGAAATTCTTAATAAAATGTTAGAAAAAACCATGCTTAAATATTCATCTCACTATTGGCTTCTATGAATTCTTACAACACTCTACTTCATAATTATTCCTAGTTTACTCACATCAAGAGCACCTCTTGCAATTCTTGTGTAAGTAGATATGTAAACGTACTGCTAAATCTAAAGCAGTATTTTTATTTTTTATACCACATGGAACTCAAGTCTTATAAGAGCACTCCTCATTAAGTCTACTGTTCTTTCAACATCAAGGTGGCATTCTCAATATCATGTATCAAAAACTAAAACTGAACTCATCATTAGTTTCAATTTGATTATTAAATACAATGACTGTATGATTAGACCCTGCAGCTTGAATTTCAGCAAAGTGTAGAAAATTATTCCACTTGACGGCACTCTGTAGGTTCAAATTCCTTTCTACAAAAAACTACATGTACACTACAAAATAATATTATAGTCAATCTTGACTAATTTTTATCTGCTTAAGTTACACATGTGAAAATCTGTTGTCATATCCTGATCTATTAGCAGTATTTATGTACACATAGACATAAAAACAAGAATGCAATGATATAAATGTATAGAAAATGAAACAGAAAATGAAAAAAAAACATTTTTTAAAAAGTACTTGAGCCTTTACAAATATGAACGTGAAGAATAACCTTTCTGAAGGTTAAATCCATTGACCAGGTCACATCAATCATACAAAAACCTGCCTTATATGGGAGTAAAAAATCAAGCTTGGTTAAAACACAGTGTCACATCCTAGCAACTTTGAAACTGCCACATCCAGGATTCTGAAACAGACAGAATCAGGTTTTGTAAACCACAAAAGTACAGAATTCAAAGAAGGTGAAATGAATTTAAAACAAAGAAAAAGTTCATGTTTCAGACCAAACAGAGCCAGTCCCCCATCTCTCCTAGAGGGCCATAGGAGTTAGCTGAAAAAAGTCAAACAGAGCTCCAAGAATGTTTCATATCTTCTGAACCAATTAGTACATATGGGAAAGAAACAAAGATTTATGATGACAGAAAAAAACCTGTTCTGTTAAATATTTTCATCTATAGTATACTATAACTAAAAATAGTAGGACCAAACACCTTTATGGTCCTAAAATGAAAGAAACACTCACAAATGGGCAAAAAATGAAGAGATGTCTGCTGTCTTCTTGTCCTGATGAGTATTCAAGGGCTTCCAATAAAAATTTTCAAAAAACCTGGACAAAAAATCCTGTTCCAGACAGATCCTTTTGAGAAAGATAAACAGATCCCCTTTATTTTATGAAAAACAAAAGGCAGAGATAGCTTTGATGGAAATCACTGCCATCAAATAAAACCTCCAGATCTCCTCACCATCAAACTCTTACCCAATTATTGGGTAGAAAAGTAAGTTGCATAAATACAATGGCTGACTGTTACAAAAAAACTGTTTATGAGAGAGCTTAACTTCATCTACACATCCTAAAAAAAAGATGGGGTAGTACCTTAAGGAAAGCAAGATATTTGCAAATCAATCAATTTCAATAAAAACACTTCAAAAAGCTAACCAATTAATGAATTTAAACAGTCTAAAGAACTTAGCCATGTGCATAAAAATTATTTAATTACTTCACAAAACTTTGGTAACAAAGAGTTTGCCTTGTCCAAATAACCTCTTGGTAGGTTAAATAAGAAGCAAGAAAAGCAAGCTTTTTGAATATGATAATAACCAAACATGCAAAAGGTTTAAAAAGTTAACAGCAACTAGCTAGTGGATTAACTCTTAAAAATAAAAAGAGCTGCCTTATTAACAGCAACTAGCTAGTGGATTAACTCTTAACTGATTTTGTGAAACATCTGCTTGGCAGGTGAGTGGTATATAATTCAATTTCACCCATGGTAGCTGCAAAAATGGGATGATCACATAAATAGCAATTTTAAAAAAACTTTCAAGTTGATAATAAGTTTTTGAAATAAAGATTAAACTTCAAAATAAGAATACTTATCTATACAGTATAGAAATTATATCAAATACTCAATGTACAACTTGGATTAATAAATCAAAAAACAAATGTTAGCACTTTCCCTACCTAAAAATGTATTACAAATAGATACTCACCTCTTCACAGAACAAACAGCTATTACCTTGCACCACAACCAAGAAGAATTTTGTAGATGCCACAAACCATAGACAAAACTCCAACCTCTACAAGTTTTAAAGTGGACTGTGCCAGCCTATGATGCAATCATCATTAGACTATAGCCCTCAACCAAAATGAGGATGCCACATCCTCCATGCACAATAAAGCCCACAAGCACTAGCATTTCAACAAAGGCTTGTTCTTGATGAGACAAAAGAAACACACCAGAAGTAGGGAGGTTATGTGGAGAGGTGAGTAGCTATCTGAAATACATTTTAAGGTAAAGAAAATGTTAACTCCAGAAATGCTACTTACCTCTTTATAAAACAAATAGCTAAAATCCCACATTGTTAAGATGATTGTGAGGTCAGGGTAGTTGCAGATAAAAAAGTACAAAGATGAGCTTCTTTCTTATATATTAGAGTCAGAAAAAGAAAACCCATGGAGCATGTCATATAGCCTGGTTTGGTATCATTCAGTGGGAGACCACTATGGATAAACTGAAGGAAGCAAAATTCTGACAAATCAGAATGTGAAGAAAGCAATGATATATCAAATCATTTATATCCCAGGAAAGTACTCTTCTCAGAGTAAGAAAACCATCCATCTTGAACTGAGGAACAGGTTACCAATCTCCGACACCTGTGGGAATGACAAAAAGATGGGAGTAAAACTCCAGAATGGAGTCAAGAAATTGTTTAATGATGTTCCTAATGGGGTGAAGTGAAGAGTGAAAGGACATAGAAAACCCCTGAGATGTCACCTGTGTAAACCAACAATTTTTGGCAAAGGGAGTCCACAGGTGTACAAAGTGGGAGAGCTGAGCTCCTACTGAGCTGGAACCAAAGGGTGGCTCCAGAAAAATAATCGTTTCCAAGACCCGTGATAGCCAGCCCTCAGATAGTAATGAGAAGACTAGGAACAGGAGAGAGGGTTACTCCTCATGGATGTAGTGGATGAGGAACCTCTGGTTAAAAGATAAAAAAGAAGCAAGAAACCAAAGTGAGTAGAGATGACTGCTGACAAGCTGTATCAGCTTCAGATTCCAGAGTATAAGAAATATTCTCAAAAAATACCCTAACTTGAAGAAAGGGTGCTACATAGAGGCCCCTGACAGAATACTGAGGGAAGTGAATGTCAGAAAGTAAGGTATCCCAATGAAGTACATCCCATAATCAAACAAACTACATTAAGTAGAAGGATAAAATTGAGACCAACCTGATAAATAGGAAAGTGAAAGTTTCCCCAGTAAAGCTGACAGGTGAAGCAATTTGAAATTTTTGAGGAAATTTTACAAACTGCTTCAAGAGTTTTAGTACTTAAAATTACATATATTAAAAGCTTAAGGGTTTTTAATATAAGCAAGTAGGCAAAGATAGATATAAAAAGAAAAAGAGGCAACAAGAGGACGCCTGTGATATGAAACAAGCCTTGAGAATTGATAAGCAGGAACTTGGTTATGTAAGGAGCATCGCCTAGAAACAAGCAGCAAGACACGTGCATTACCCGAAATAAGTTTGAGAGGCGAGCTTGGAAATCAGTGACCAAGGTCAGCAGCAGAGTTAGTAAGAACTGCTGCATAGAAACAGGATGTAGACACCAGTACATGTGACAGTTTGAAGAATTGTTGACCTCGCCCTCATAGCACTAGGAAAGCTGCAGAAAAGTTTAGATGTGGTGAATCATATTGGCACTTTGAGGTGGTATTAGTTACAGCACATGGGTGTAGCAGTACAAGTGAATAGGCAGCCGGCTAACACCACTTATCTATGACCAATGACTTGAGAGTTTTGGTTTAGGTTCTGGTTTAGCCCAGGAATTCCCCTAAAGTACCCAATAGGAGCACAGGACTACTTGTGGGTGATGCTGTGTCCTATTTAGTGGGTCGAATCAACACAAGGAAAATGGAGTTTAAAAACCCATGTCAGAGGCTAAAAAATCACTGTTCCTCGGACTGAAGAAGTTCTCCAAGTTCTCCAGGCCAACATGAAAGTGAAATTCAGCAACGTAGCAAAGACTTCTAATACTCCAACTCTACTGTAAGTATAGTCTCTCTCTTAATCAGCTGGTGTACAAAATAGTAAGCGTAAGCAGTTAAAGTTTTTATAAGAAATAATTTGATAAACCTAATGTTCAAGTGTGTAATGTTTTATAAGAATTAATTTATGTTAAATGAACATTATTTTGAGTGTTTATTCTTGGCCTGAGACTCGATTTCTTTAGTCTAACTGTAAACTCCTCGAGTTAGCGACTTGTGGCTCCACTCGTCACAACAAATCCTCCAATAAATAAATTTGGTGTAATGAGTAGTTTTAATTGAAGCTCCAACAATTAAGCTCACCTGAGCGCTACTCTTTACACAGGATCATGATGTAAAACCTCTAAAAGAAGGTAAACCGTGGACAGATAGCAATGAAGTTGAGTATGTGCAAGACCAAGATGAGTAGATGGAAAATGAGAAAGAAAGGAATGAATGGAGAAAGAGAAGGTAGACCAAGATTCAGCAAAAAATAACTGAAGAAAGAAAAAATAAGAAACACATATCTGTGTAATCCAAGCAGGTAACAAGGATGGTGGAATTACCTGGTCCTCATCAGGAAGAGGAAACCAGAAGCAAACATATGCATAGAAACCATCAGACAGTTTCCTCTGTCAGGATCAACTGAAGTAACATAAGCAGGAGGTCAGAGATCTCAGATTTAAAATCAGAATGGTGTGAACCACTTGGTGCACAATGGTGGTAACATCACTGATCATCAGAGTGCCTCCAGTTACCATTGCAAAAGTGTATGAATCTTGGTAAATGTCAAAAACATAGAGATGTGAATTTGTAATCTAAATTCTCCACACAACTGTTTTTTTTTTGTTGTTGTTCTTAAAACAATTTAGCCTGGTATGTCCATGGTACATAGGCCTAGGTCATTCCTGTAATGATGAAATTATAAAGTACTTAACAAACCCTGTATACTGGGTTAAAAAAAAAACAGGAAATAGAACTGCCATAGAAACCTTACCACAGACAGTGGAACACCTGTCCAAAAATTAAGAGGTAAAATCAAAGTTATGATAATTTGAATCAAAGTTTTAACAGAAAGTCTAAAATTTAGTATCTGTCTTTCTCATAATCAAGAAAACAAAAGGAAGAAAAAGTATGATACAAATTATAACAATAATTTAAAATAATAAACTAAAAACTTCTGCAATTCTTAAGAACAAGTTAGTGCCAAGGAAAAGAATGAGACTTTGTTGAAATGCTAGGCTCATGAAGGATACGTTGCATTCCTATTGGTAGAGGGTTAGATTATATCACAGGCAGGCACAAACCACATTAATATGTGTAGAGATGGAAGTTTCATACAAGGCTTGTGGCATGCATAAAATACTCCTTGGCCATGGTGTGAGATAATAGCTGTTTGTTCTGTAGAAAAGTGAATAATGTTTCTAAAATACAGAATTTAAGTGAAAGACATACTTGACAATTTTGGTGTGGTTAATGTGATGGCAAGCAAGGTGAATCATGAATCAGTTTTAAGAAAGGTCCCAACTGACTGATAGCTAATATCAGGAGATTGACTAGGTATGAAATGCAAATGCATCATTAAAAATGTGACAAACCACCTCAGTACAAATTTTACAAGATATGCAGTTGTACAACAAAAGTTTTTAATTTTATATTGGTCAATTGAAAATCAATCTAAAAATATGATAAAGTACATGTTGTACAAAAAAGTTAGCCTATATATTAATTTATTAATGATGTTAAAAACATGCAAGTTCAAGAAATCAATTAGATACGATATCCTATTAATCGAGTGCTTTTGAAAGGTCCACCATTCAAAAGTGCTCAGATTATAGGGTATAATATATATATTAATTTTTTAAATAACCACCTCAGGAAAGGAGTTCTTTTATAAATAAAATCTTCTGGCTTAGCAAAATCTATATTTTATTGTTATTGATCATACAAGAAGTAGTATAATACTCAGGTATGTTACTCATCTCCCTTACCCAAGTCAAAGACATAATACATCTTCTATAAGAAATACCATGTCTTACACAAAGAATAACAGAATATTCTTTAATTAAACCCAGATACTCTGTTTTCTTAGTTTTATTACACTTATTATCATTAAAATTCCCATAAATCTTCAAAACACCATGAATATACAAATCATTCATTCAAAAAAAATACTAGAAAGCAGAGCTTTTTATTTAAAATTATTGGTGATGGAATAGTTCTGGCTGAAGATTGGTAACTGATGAAAACTGATGTTTGTCTGTGGACAACAAAACAACTCAAAGGTATCACAAAGAGATTGTACAAGAATAAATACATCAACTGCCCCTAATGACAGTTGTTACTGGTAACTTCATTCAAGCAAATAAAGATAAGAAATAAAATTAGGAAAGAATACCAAAAAAATTATAAAGAATAGGTTTTTGTAATGAGAGACAAAAACAAAACTTCATATGTAGAATTATACGCAGACTTTTCTTTATGTTAAACTACTTTTACTTGCAAGTTTTCGGCCCTCTTACCAGATCCTTTGTCAGGAAACAATGTATGAGGGCCGAAAACTTGCAAATAAAAGTATTTTAACGTAGAGAAAAGTCTGCGCATAATTCTACATATTAATTTACTTGCATTATTAATCTTAAAAACCAAATAAGCTTCATTTTAAATCAACATTCAAGCTAGTAATGGAATAAACAAAGCAAACATATTTACTGCAGATTTTCACATAAAAAAGTAAAATTATTCAGTCTGTAATGAATTAAAAGCTAACATATCAAATATTATTTATGATCAATATGATATTATTTACAAATTCAATTAGCACTTAGTTCTTATAAATAATTAAAATACTGTTACATGTAACCTATATTGTATATTCACCTACTTGAAACTGAGGCTTGTTATTTAATATATATAGGACTTCTAATCTTTAATACTAAACATTTTCAGTATGTAGCCTAAAAATAAATAACCCATACACAGTATTTAGGCTTGTGATTATATATGTAAAATTATTAATATCCCACACTGAAACCCTAACAAAGCATAATGTGTATCATACTAAACAGTAACATTCTAGTATTCCAGTGAATTTCCAAAAGGAATTATATTTCAACTAATTACAAACAAATTCTTGTAACCATAAACATGTATTTTCTGATCACTCTGGCAAAAATACATGGATATGTTTGGCTTTAGCATTTAACTTAAAAGCATTATCACACAATATAAAAAATAAAATTGAGTTGCATATTAATCATGATACACCCATAATAACATTAGAGCTTTAACTTCCTTATAAAGCATAACCTTGTAATTAAAATATGAAATACATTGTTTATTTCCTAAATTGACTGTACATTATATTACTTTTAAATGAAAACAGATAATTGACAATATATTTAAAAAGACTATGATTCACACTGGAAATCATAAAGAACTATACCATCAACCTGCTAGTGAAAACCCTTATTAAAACAGCGTAGGTACATTGTGGCACATTATATAACAGCGTAGGTACATTGTGGCACATTATATAACAGCGTAGGTACATTGTGGCACATTATATAACAGCGTAGGTACATTGTGGCACATTATCTATAACAAATGTTTGTTGTAGGAATAAACTAAAATAAAATGTTTGCAAAAACCTCTCTAAAATTATGGTTTTGGTTTTGGTTAGCTTAAAATACCTTCTATTACCTTTATTACTCATGGTTCTTAAACAGAAATCATGGTATGTTCTTCCATGAACTGGTACCATAGAGGTTTGAATGTTATTAAGTTACTGCCCCAAAATCACTAATGAATGCCTGAAACATTCAAGAAGTTCAGTATCATTTATGTTCTAAGTATCAGACAGAAGTTTGTAGGAACTGATTCCAATTTAAAGTTCAATAAATGCTTCATATAAAATTTTAATATAAAATAGTCTTGAATATTAAAATATAAAATAGCTTCAGACCATTCACAATAACTATGCAAAAAAATTAGTTATAAACTTAGTTTCATCTCAACTTTTACTTACATTGATGAAATAAGTAGAGAAAATGCAAAAATGAAAAAGTCATTCCAGACTGATGAAAATAAGCACTACAGCACTGAGTAAAAATTTTTCTCTAACATCAACAATGCTTTAAGTTGGAAAATTACAAATTCAAAAAGCTTTGAACATCTAACTCAATCAACTACACTCAAAAGAGATCAAAACTTGGTTGCACATTAACTTCCAGTTTCCACATGGACCAAAAATTTAACTCTCTCTCTCTCTCTCTTCTAAATTCATTACAACTTCATTCCTACCCAGCTTTATATACACCACAACTCTACATCTTATTGTGTTTTACCCATCAGATGTAAGCTAAGGAAGTTTATAAACACTAAATATAGCTGCCATAATTTAACTGATGGACCAGCAGTTTAAAATATTATTTTCAACATTAATCTTGTTCACTACATGCAATTATACATTTAAATATTTCCATCAATGTTACATCTTCTATCTGTCCCTATAGTTTACTCTATTGAACTAACTAATGGAAAATAGAAACTTCACGTACACTATATCTAACAAAGCAAACCAGTTTCTGCTACACCAAAAAAGTATTGTTACGTATCTGCTTGTTTGTTAATTTCCTGTAGAAATTCAGCAATACAAGTCCTTTTTTGATTAAACCAGTTTATTCTTTCTCGATACAAACTTTTAGTACACAGTAATTCCCCAGTCAGAACGTTTCTCATCACTTTAAACTTAACAACTTTTATAATACACGCTATAAATCACAGCGATTCATCATCTCGGTAACTTTGCTCTCTACGAGTGCAAAACACACACTAGCTCGAAACAGAATCGTAAATTACCCAAAACTCACTGTGACTACTGTTTGCTTTATCCTCCTTTGGCTTTTCTCTGCCAGGCTTATATACTAACGAAGAGGCATCTCCAAAAATTTGTGAACTTGGTCGATAATTCAAGAAACTCAGTCACGCACGCGCCAGCAGCGTCACGTGACTTCTGCTGTTGTAACAGTATATTCATTGATTCAGAGTTAATATGGAACTTTGCAGTTGCTTCAACTGACCTATATTATCCTTGTACAACCCCTGTTAGGAGTGAGTATATAATTTCAGAATATAAACTGTAAAAAAATCACATGCAAAATACAGCCCTGGAAACAATTATGTTTACTTTCGGGTTTCTCGATAAGGAGTAACCTAGATTAGTCAAATTATCACTTTTCACCTTGCTTATTCTTATGATTTTTGTTTATGTATATGTTTAAAAGTTACTTAACAATAATCAGTAGTTTCAGAAAACTTAATTATCTTATAAGGGTTTGTCTTTCTTGACAAGGATATCATGGTTTATGTTATTTACTGTTTCAAAGATTTCCCAATTGAGAGGAGATGATAAGCTAATAATTTATAAGTAAAAGGAAAGTTTGTAAATGGAACAAACTAAAAATAAGAATATACCAAAGGCCAGTTAGGCCACTGATGTCACTTATTAACCACTAAAAATTCCTCTATTCTGAATTCATACTGGATGTCAGAACCACAAAGAAACTGTTTTACCAGTTGTGCTTACAGGCATGTGAAGTTAGATAAATAAATTATGAAATATAAAGGGGCCCTTTCATATATCAAGGATAACCAAAGTCCCATAAATAAACAGAAAACTAAACATCAAATCCATCCCTGATGCCCCAAGTATCCATCAACCTTTTTATTAAGTCCTATCTAAAGCATTTGAAAAACAGTGGGTGAATACAAAGTGCTATCACTGAAGGACAAATAATAATTTGACCAAAGTGTATATAGTGTTGCCTGATGTTATGGTCTTGCTTAATATGTTTGAATTATTTCCTATCAAATTTCTGTAAAGAAAAAAAAACTGTGACCTGCTAATGGAGTATCAGATTTATAAGATATTCAAAGAGATAATTCTTAACTGTATTACCTTGTTTACTGGCTCTCTTTTTTTTTTTATGAAATTCACAAAGTTCAAGTCTCCATATTCCCATTCCAACACAAATAGTTGGCCAATATAACAACCTGATAGCTCAAATAGGTTGTAACTGGTACCATAACAAACATAAATCATAATAAAAAAATAAAAGAAATATAAAGCCAGGTCACATGACCATTATGCTCATTGAAACATCAGTAACCCATAGAAAAAAAAATTCCATAGCCCTTCACATTATATACCTATCCAATACAATTTTTGAAAAATATTCAAATAGACAACAAAAGATCAGGTAACCCATTTGAAGAATAAGACTATATTCTGTAACCTTCCAAAGCTTAAACTTACAAATTATAGTATTCAAGTTTTTATTCATTCCACTGATCACTATTGTGAAGACTGTCTAAACACCAAATGATTTTGGACATTTTTATCGTTTCCTTTAATCCTTCTACTATCTAATAAAAAAACAAAAAAAAGAGGTCCAAAATTTTAATCTTCTACGTTCAAACTATTTTCAATTTTGAGCTCTTAAATCACATCTCTTCTAATTCTTCAATCATGTAGAAAAAGCAAATTCAGAAATTAAGCCTCAGTATCTCTGTATTATTTTCGACATATTGATATTCTTCCTGTATACAAAAGTAAGCACATGGTAATAAAAATGAGTTGTTACTTGTGCCTTATATAACGTTACAATAACCTTCTTGTTCTAATATTCAAAATTCCTATAACAGAACCAAAAGCCAGTCATCCCATCTAAGAATGCAATATAAAATACTACATCTTTCTCTATTCATTAGTGAGAGAGTTCCATATTGGAACACCACTAAAAACTTATCAAAAAGAATAAAAGTACCAACAATTCAATATCCAAAACAGAACTAATTGAGAGACTATAAAATGTGGTTAAATTTTTTGAGGGTTACAAGAATATTGTGAATTAAGTGAAATTGGCAAGATGAGAGGAAAGGTAAAAAAAAATGAATATATGAGAACTAAAAAAATAAGGAAGAATTTATGGCATTCTGATGTGGAAGTACATCAAAAAAACTTCAATAAAGACAACTAAAGGAAAAGAATGGTAGACGGAATAGAGAAACAAAAGAACAGAACTTCAGAAATGTTAATTAGCATGTGTTATGTTACACTGAAATGAAAAAAAAAATCCAATTTTCTTCCCAACTAAAACAAGTGTGAAATACTTATTTGTAACTTCAACATTTTTGTGCTTTGGTGAAAAATAAAAAAAGACAACTATCATAAATGTACACACCAAAAGAAGGTTAGTTTGCATCTCATCTGACAATTATTTATAGAGAAATAAATCATTCATATTGTAAAAACAAATGTAAATGCTTAAAAGAACACAATAATAACATGTAAATATCATTATAAATCCAGACACTACAAAAAAGAATGGCCAAAGATTAGCATACACATGCATTAAAACTTATAATATTGTACCTTTTTTGCTAATGATAGCATAAAGTACATACCAAATAACTTTTTACTTGAAACATAAATTTCATTATGAATAACTTTTTACTTATTAAATTGTAGTAAAACCTTTATTAATCAGAAAATTGAAACAAAGTGTAACAAGACAACTGACACATCAAAGTACAGTGGAAAACCGTCATACCAGGCTATCTTAAAATACAAAACCACAAGTAGGAAGAAACAAAATAAAAATAGAGAAAATAAATGTATAGGAAAAAGCTTAAATAATTTAATGATAAAAAATAAAGATAAATAAAACAAAATAGCACATTAATAAAAAAATATTAAAGGAAAAGAGTGGTATCTCAATACAGAACCATCTTCAATGGACTTAATAATTTTCTTTCCCAACTAAAACAAGTGTGAAATGCTTATTTGTAATCACAACATTTTTGTGTTTTGGCTGGCATTTAGTGCTTTACTCCCACTCTCAGTGTTAAAAATAAAAATAGATGAGTGATGTAAAATTTAAAATGTAAAAGAATTATTAGACTTTTTTTTAAGACAATGGTGCTTATAAAAATATAAGTTACGATTGTAGTTAGCAATAATAATTAAATTAACAGAATTAGGTCTTTAAATTTAATGAAATAAAAGTATCTGAACACAAAAGGTTCCTTTAAAGTTAAAAATAAAAGGTCTCAGTACAACAACACCAACATAACTTTAACCGGTACGTTTACCTCCTGAAACTTTTCCGGCTCGTGAAAACTCCACAGAAGGTCTCGGCTGGGAATGGGATGACGATTGAGCTGTCAATGCCATAGCATGAAACTAATCTAGTAATAATAGTATTCTGAAACTAAATTATTATAAACTGCTTTCCATAACAAATATTTAACGTTATTAGTATAACTAATCTGATACGTGAAGTCTCAAAGTTCATTCACAGAGATCACACAAGAAGTATATATGTATGTATATATATATATATATATCCTAACTTTAAAATAAAATATATTTTTACACATTAAATTACTATTCTCGGTTGCTTTTCACAACAACAACACAGTGACTTAGGAAACAGTAATGGCCCATCCCAGTGGAATGAAAGTTTCTATGGGTTAGAGAATGAAAGAAATATCGTACGCTAGACGTCGATAAAATCGCAAAATATAGACGGTTTTAAATGAACAGAAACATAAAAGAAAATTCACAAATTGTCCAAGGGCTCAGACAATTATAAGTAAAACTTGTGAGGACATCGCTTAAATGACATATTACCAAGTTTGAAGACGTTTGCAGAGAACGTTAAAAAATAAAAAATTATTACATTTCATTTTCAAGAAAATTCCAAAGGAAATTGATGATTGTATAGAGAGTTTGTTTGTTTTGAATTCCGCGCAAAGCTACACATCCCTAATTTAGCAGTGTAAGACCAGATGAAAGGCAGCTAGTCATCACCACCTACCGCCAACTCTTGGGATACTCTTTTACCAACGAACAGTGGGATTGGCCGTCACATTATAACGCCCCCATGGCTGAAAGGGCGAGCATGTTTGGTGGAACGGGGATTCGAACCCGCGACCCGCAGATTGCGAGTCGAGCTCCCTAACCACCTGACCATGCCGGGCCTTCTATATAGAAAAACAAAATTTTGGTAACCCATACAATTTCTGTCTTCAGTCCCCCTCCCAGTGATTCAGCGGAAAGCAAGTAGACTTGCGACACTAGAAACCGGGTTTCGATACCTGTGGTGGGCAGAACACAGATGGCTCATTGTGTAGACTTGTGCTCAACAACAACCAATACAAATTTTAGTTCCCCCACTGATATGCTAAGAACAATAAAACATTTGTGTGTCGTTTTTATGTGATGAACTCAAATATGAAGTTTTAGAAAGTTTTAATAAATTAGTCGAACTTGTTTAGATGTAAACGTAGTTTCCCATTTTTATCGTAATTGGTTTTAAACCTAATCATTTTATTTGAAGTCTAATTGCAAGCATTATCGTTTATTTTAATTGGCTTAGTTTATGGATTATATATTTTTTTAAATTTCTTGTTTATTTGTGTTTTTTTAAGAGCAAAGCCACATTGGGCTATCTGCTGTGTCCACTGCGGGTAATCGAACTACAGCTTTGAGCGTTGTATGTCCTTAAACTTACCGTTGACCCACTAGGGAAGATTTTTTTTCTTTCTATTTGTTCAGGAATTATAGTTAAAGTGTAAGTTACCTTAGTATAAAGTTATCTGCTTAATGTCGACTGATTCTTATGCAGGCGTGAATGTTGTTTTGGAATAATTTCTATTGTGATTGGGATTTTGATTCGACATGTAGGTATAGGGACGGTTCTTCCAGAGGGCTTGTAGGGGCTTTAGCCATCTAACTTTCTTTCTTCTTTTTTTTTTTTTTGAAACTCATAGCGTGGATTTTGTATATAGCTACTTAAAGTTCTTTCTCATAAAACACTTACAGTAATGAAGCACAATATGTACGATCAGATACATTAACTGTGTATTTATATTAGGTCGTCAAGAAATTAATGTCGCGTTTTGGAACACTTTCATTGACCAACCCCAAAAAACGTACAATAGTTAAACGAACTGCCTAAACGTCACTTTAGTGTAGCCTATATAATGTGTAAAGTTTACTCTAATCTCTAATAGTGATGTCACACAACGAGACACACATTCGACGTGTAATGCTGTTTGAATACAAGAAGGGAAACAACGCCTCTGTAGGAATGTTCAAAACATTTCCATAAACTTCTTTGATATTATTTGTGGACAAAGCAATGTTCACACATTGGAAATTATTGGAAAGTTTGTGAGGCACCCAAGCACCTTCTTTATGGAGTTTTCCCATATTCCTTAGATCTTTACATATTGTGTCATGAGAGATATGCAATTTCAGGGCCATTTCACAAGTGTGGTGTCTTTGCTCAGACTCAACAAGCATCTTCAGAGCATCAATATCAATTTCACCATGCTGACCTCTGCCATCACAGTTTTTAAGGCTAAAGTCACCTGAACGAAATGTGTTGAACCATTGTTGACACTTATCTCTTCTGGCACGTGAACCATTTTTGGACAGAATTGTCACTGGTGATGAAAAATAGATTCTCTATGTGAATATTAAACACCAAAAACAATGGCTCAGTTCTAGACAAAAACCACTTCCGCCTTCAAAACCTGGACTCCATCCACAGAAAGTGATGCTTTGCATTTTGTGGGACATCAAAGGAGTAATTCATTTCGTACTCCTCAATCCACAGCGAACTGTCTATGCAGAGATTTATACATTGCTTTGTCTCTTCTGGCACGTGGACCATT